AGAGAGGCATGTGGCATGCTACATGGGGTCACAGAGGGTCAGATGTTACTGAACAGCAACAAGCAACAACAAGGAAGTTGCATATCCTGGCTTGGCTGTGGGGACTGTTGAGGGGATGTTCAACTCTCAAGAAATGGAAGAAATACAGGCCTCAGAGTCACGCCAGGCAGCCCAGGGGGAGCTGTCCGGCACCGAGGCGATGGTCTGTCCTCCATAGAAGAGAATTAAAGCATTCGTCTTCCCTCAACAGGGGAACCTGCCTCTGCACTTAGCATGTGAGTCTCTATGAATAATAGCAGAGAGAAACGCACCTGGAGGGGGAGATGGAGAAAATCCCCCAGATATTTCCTTTTCCTGTTACTGTCTGAGGACCAGAAAGAGATGAGAATATTGAGTGTAGAAATGGGACTTTGATGTCAAACTGCTATATTCTGGGTCTTACTGCATGAGGGAAATGAAATTCAATTGTTTTCAGATTTTCCTTCCCTAAATTGTTGCTTCTTCTGTGACAGTTCAAAAATGAATGAGTCTGAGTGTTTGGAGTGGAAATTTTGTAGCAGACATCCTTGTTTGTTTTTTAATGCTTCTGCATTAGAAATAAATCACCGCCAGAAGAAAAATGAGAAGAGCATCTCGAAAATTCAAGTGTGTGTGTGAGTCAAAAGCTTAATTCTTGTATTTTTTTTGCTTGAGTTTCTAACCAAAAATTTACACACTCATGCATCCTTACCTCAAAATTTGGGATGTTTCCATGGGACTCTCAATAAACGTTTCACATTCCTACATGAGAGAGAATGCAGTGAAATAGAATTTCACCTTTAAGGTGAATTTTAGTTGATGGGACCCTTTCCCTGATCACTTGCTTCTCAGAATTTGGGGGTTTTACTAATCATTCTGAATGATGCATTTCCTGATGACAGTATCTGAAGTTGTGCCCCTCCTCCTAGTAGAGAAGGACACAGCAAAGGACAAGATGGTTGGATGGCATCACTGACTCAAAGGATGTGAGCTGGAGCGAACTCTGGGAGCTGGTGATGGACAGGGAAGCCTGGTGTGCCATAGTCCACGGGGTCGCAAAGAGTCAGACATGACTTACGGAGTGAACAACCATGACAGCCTGTGCCTCTGCCCTCCCTCTCTCACTTCTCGCTGTTTCTCCTTACCACCCCTCATCTTTGTGTGACATACATAACCTTTTCTCCAACTCCCTTCCCACTCCTCTAAAAGACCAATGAGAGCAAGACGTTGGTCAGTTTTCTTAGCTATTGCATTCCCACTGCCTAAACACTCCTCGGAATATAGCAGGTGCCCAATAAATATTTGTCAAGCGAGTAAATTGGCAAATGAACGGGCAATCCTGTAAGGTAAGTAAAATCAGTCCTGTTTCACAGGTGTTGAATCTTGGGCTCGAAAGGATCCTAGAAGCTTGAGCAAGGTCATGCGGCTGGGTAGTCAGGGACGCTGAATCCGGGCGCAGGGTGTGTGTGGCCTGGGGGTCTTCAGGGTTCTGCCTCCCCGGGCTCCGCGGTCAGCTTCTCACCAGCGCCCCCCACTCCGGTGCCCATGGCCTCCGTGTCGCAGTGAAGGGGGTCCCTTCCAGGGCCCGAGGGACGGCGCCTGTCTAACACCCAGAAATGAACTGTCCGAGGAGACACACGTGCGGACAGAGCAAGAGACTACCGGGCAAGGACGCCTGGGTGGAGAGCAGCAGGGTGAAGGGCCCGGGAAGACTGCTCTGCCACGTGGCCCGCAGCCTCAGGTTTTATGGTGATGCAATTAGTTTCTGCATTGTCTTTGGTCAATCACTCTGACTCAGGGTCCTTCCCAGTTGCAAACACATTGTTCAGCCAAGATTGATGCCAGCAAGAAGGATTCTGGGGAGTGGTAGGACACGCGGCATCTCCTTTTGACCTTTCCCAAACTCTTCTGGTTGGTGGAGGCTTCTTAGTTCCGTGTTTCTTACCAGGACCTCTTGTCGTAAAATAATTCACGCAGATGGTTACTATGGTGCCTGGCCAGCGTGGGGGGTTTCAGTCAGTGTGCTTCCCCTAATATCAGGGTTCTTTTCCCATCCCTTCAATAAACTCTTTCTAGGTAAGAAATGACATTTAAGTGACTCACTGTGAAGTGGATCAAGATGAAGTCACAGTTACTCCTCCCTTGGAATGTTTGCATTCTATGGGCCTTTAACACCTTGCCTGGGGCAGCTGGTTCTAAAGGTGCAATTCAGGCTTTCATCAACACTTCAGTTCAGTTCAGTTACTCAGGGGTGTCTGACTTTTTGCGACCCCATGGACTGCAGCACACCATGCCTCCCTGTCTATCACCAACTCCCGGAGTTTACTCAAACTCATGTCCATTGAGTCGGTGATGCCATTTAACCATCTCATCCTCTGTCATCCCCTTCTCCTTCCCCATCTATTTGCCATGAAGTGATGGGACTGGATGCCATGATCTTAGTTTTCTGAATGTTGAGCTTTAAGCCAACTTTTTCGCTCTCCTCTTTCAGTTTCATCAGGAGGCTCTTTAGTTCTTTGCTTTCTGTCATAAGGGTGGTGTCATCTGCATACCTGAGGTTATTGGTATTTCTCCCGGCAGTCTTGATGACAGTTTGTGCTTCATCCAGCCCAGCGTTTCTCATGATGTACTCTGCATATAAATTAAATAAGCAGGGTGACAATATACAGCCTTGACGTACTCCTTTCTCTATTTGGAACCAGTCTGTTGTTCCATGTCCAGTTCTAACTGTTGCTTCCTGACCTGCATACTGATTCTTCAGGAGGCAGGTCAGGTGGTCTGGTATACCCATCTCTTTCAGAAATTTCCAGTTTATTGTGATCCACACACAGTCAAAGGCTTTGGCATAGTCAATAAAGCAGAAATAGATGTTTTTCTGGAACTCTGTTGCTTTTTTGATGATCCAGCGGATGTTGGCAATTTGATCTCTGGTTCCTCTACCTTTTCTAAAACCAGCTTGAACATCTGGAAGTTCACGGTTCACATATTGCTGAAGCCTGGCTTGGAGAATTTTGAGCATTACTTTACTAGAGAGTGAAATGAGTGCAACTGTGTGGTAGTTTCAACATTTACACTGTCTGGTGACAAAGGGAAGGTCAAAGAGTCAAAAATCTGGTCAACACACCCTTTGACCCCAGGCCACTCTGCAGGCAGCCCTTGGGAGCAGGCAGCCTTGCTCCAAACCCTGCACAAAGCTGGTTCCGAGGACTGGATGTGACCTGGGGCCACTCGGGTGCTACCATCCTGGGGTTCCAAAGATTTCCGTGGAAAACCTTCTGTCATCTCTCTAATGACACTATGTAAACATGACTTGGAAGTCTTTTTTATATTATACACTTTATTCCTAAAACCCTAGCATGAGGTACACTTTCTCCTCTGAAAGCAAGCTGTCCTGCCTGCCAGGTTTCCTCTGCTACAAGTTTTAGAGTGCAAATACTTTCTCACAGGCCTTTTGTCCCACACCACCCCCCTGCCCTGAGGTTAGAATGATATTTCAGATCCAGAAATGGGAAGAGAATTTTTCCAATTATGTTCTTGGTGCTTTATTATTCCAACCAATCCATATAAATGCAAATAGGGAATTAGGAAGATTCCTCTGCAATACAACCTTCTCTCATCCTTACACGATGGACATCATGATTGCCATGAGCTTACTAATGCAGTCACTGTTTTTCAGCTTTGCAGAAGGAAGTGATGTCTATTGGCCTATCTAATTAGCTTCCCCACCAACTATGCTAGGAGGATTTTTTAAAAAGCCAAAAATCAAAAAAACACCACTTTCCCTGACAATCACCTGTCAGATTTTCCACCATTTTTTGGGAGCACTTTACATCTCCTCCAGGAAGCCTCCTGGGGCTGTGGAGCCTGTCTGCAGGCAGGCAGTGGATGGATTCCCTCCTGGCATTTCCAGATGCTCCAAGGAGAGTCCGGGCTTGCAGTGGAGAATAAGGACAGTGGAGGGACCAGTAGAACTGGCAGGGCAGTCCTAAAGCTGCCTTCATAGGGGTGCTGTGAACAGTAACAGGATAATACATACCAGATGCCTGGTACCTAACATGTGGGCTTCCCAGGTGGCACTAGCGGGAAAGAATCCACTTGCCAATGCAGGAGACCCGAGAGCCGGGTTCGATCCCGGGTTGGGAAGATCTCCTAGAGTAGGAAATGGTAACCAGCTCCAGTATTCCTGCCTGGGAAGTCTCATGGACAGAGAAGCCTGGCAGACTACAATCCACGGAGTTGCAAACAGTCAGACGTGACTGAGCACTCACACATATAGCAGGTGCTCACCAAGGGCTAGCTATTACTCTCATATGCACTTTAAATTAAATTTTAAATATATATACGAATGTATATTGAATGTCCCATAAAATTTATAACTGCCAATTTTTTTCTATTCCCCATAAGTATATTTTTCTTAAATCCATGTCTCTCTTTAGAAATTTGATATTTTCAATAATAATAATAATAATAAAGCAACATCACCCTCATAGACATAAAGGCCAGGACCTCAGGGACAGAAAGCAAAAGGACACAAAAATCCTAAGTCCTAAAATACATTAGGACTTGTTCATCTCATCTGTGTCTATACTGATAGAGTGAAATGGAAAATATAATGGTTTTCTTGGTTAGAACGTCCTTAGTGTTTTTTACGGAATTAAACGTGCACATACATATTTATTAAGGTTATGCATTTGAAGTAATAACTCATCAACCGATGTTGCATTATCCTTTTTTTTTTTTTAAAGTAATGTCAAGAGTTTCTATGGAAGGGATGCCTGGTCTTCTCTAGAGCAGGAGGGAGTGGGGCTTTAAGAAGCACAGATTAGGAGAACTGACTCACAACGGACTCCCCACCCCCCATCCCGGTCCCCATAGCAACAATGGGTCATCAGTAGTTTTTTGGTTGTCTTGATCTTTACCAGCGATATTTTTGTGTTTTAAGATTTAAAAAGAAGATAAATTTCCAAGACAAAGCCATGATCCATGTCTAAGTTTATTTGATGGAAAAGGGTGGCAAGAGTTAGATCCAGAGGGCTCTGCTCATATTTGTTTCTGGTATCAATCGACTGAGGAAAATACACTTGTGTCATGAGCCTTAACTTTGCTTACTCTCACAACGCTTTTTTAGAAGCTGAAATAACACATCCCCAAAGCATTGGCCTTGCTAAGCCATTTCAGAAAACCATGTTGAAAAGAAAAAAAAAAAATCAGTATTATATTACAGGCCCAGGAAAAAAAATCACACCATTGTCATCATAGTAAAGACACTCATACTTTTTGGTCAATTTAAGATCAAAGCAAATGTGTCTATCCCTACTCAGGCAAACTGCTAATTGATCACATAAATATTTTATTCTCCCACAGTGAAAGTTTGACACGGGCTTACATTTTTTAAAACTTACTCTGTACCAGTAAGGAGAGTGAAGATATTTAAGAACTGAGAGCATACCGATACTTAACAATAAAGATATAACTGACTTTTAGCACATTAGTCACACTATACAAAATTTGAGATTAATTCCCAGAGTCCTTTGCACACTTATTCACGTTTTTGCTCTTCGAAAGGAAGTTTTTTTCACCCCTGTACCGACACCATTGCGAAAGGACCTTTTCATAAGTGTCTTCTCCAAAATTGACTTTAGAAAATCTAGTCCCTCTCTCCTGTCCATCCTGGTTGGGCAGCTGTTCAGCAGAAGGACAAAGTAATCAGATTTTCCAGACACCTGGCAATTAAGATGGGGGAGAGGGAGAGAATACAGCTTTAGGGTTCAAAGCTTATTTCAATCATAACAATTTTCAGAATCTTACGGTGATAAATCCAATATAGCCAATATTCAAAGAGGGTTTTGCTAAAATATTTTTTAAATACAGACTTTATCAAAATACAAAATACTGTTTGAAGCTGTCTACCCTCTTCTCTGAATTTTGTACTACTTACGTGATTGCAGCTATTCAGTATTTGCATCGTATACCCTATAGTTATCTTGTTGCTATTACTTTATAAAGAACCTTTCAAGTGGCACTAATTAGTCTTGGGAATTTTTTTTTTAATTCACTGAGAAAAACAACCCATGATAACCAAACTCCAGGCTTCAGTTGCAGTCATTTTCCTTCTGAGGCCTGTCCCGAGTCATTTTCCAAGTCTCTCTCTCCACAAGGATGTCTTTGAACTTGAGAGTCAACATCTTTCTCTCTTGACTTTGGCTCAGTTCCACCAGGGGCTAAAAGGCCTGAATGATGTAAGATGGTACAGGAGGCACTTAGCTGTGAGAGAAACAAGTCTGACATCTTAGAGCTCAAGTTGGCCATCGAGAACACGCAATTCAATCCCATACTTTGTAGAAGGAGAAGCTAAATAAAGACCTGAGGGGCATGATGGATAGTCTTTGTGCTATGTGCTTATTTGTATCACCTGATTTTAACCCCTCAAAAAGCTTTTTTGAAGTTGGTACTATTGTTTCCTTGCTTGTAATTTCCCTTAAATAAGGAAATTAATTACATGGCATATAGGTGAAGCAGGACTTGATTGAGGCATCAGACTCCAAGCCCATGTTTTTCAACTGTGTGAGAGCTACAAGAGGAAAGGGGGCTGAATGCTTTTATTACAGATAAAGATGTTTTACAGTGCCAAAAGCACACATTTCCTCTCCCAGTACAGGAAACCAAGTTTGGTTTGGGAGTGACTTTGAAAGTAAAGATGGGACCAGAGTGCATCTCAAGATTCTCCACCCCCCACTAGGGTGGAGGCTCCCTAAGTGGTCTAGCAATCAGAGCCCCTAGAAAAACCATTCCCACCGGTCTCTGTGGGAATGCATGGGCATTTAGGAGTTTTAGATCTGGGAATAATCAGAGAATTTCAGAGGTATTGGTCATATTTTTCATGGGAAAACCAATCAAAAACTCTTACACTCTATGTCTTACCCTGTATTAGTAGAGAAGATCTAAGCATGATATAATGCCATCTAGTTTAAATTTCCAACAACAAGGGCCTATGAGTCATTTCAGGAAGGGGAACACTCCAGTTCTTTCCAGAAATTGTCATAATTCCACATTTATATTGCAAACATATATATATATATATATATATATATATGCATCAATCCTAGTTACAACAGCCCCCAAACATCAATGTGTGTGTGCTCAGTCTTTTGGTTGTGTCCGACTCTTCTCAACCCCATGGACTATAGCCCACCAGACTCCTCTGTCCATGAGACTTTCCAGGCAAGAATACTGGAGTGGGTAGCCCCTCCCTACTCCAAGGGATCTTCCTGACCCAGGGATCGAAACTGTGTCTTCTGCATCGGCAGGTAGATTCTTTACCACTGAGCCACCTGGGAAACCCAAAACATCAGTAAACAGCCCTAAAAAGATACTTTGCTGATCAATGAAGGGAGTCCTTGTCAGACAGACTCATTAACTGCATAATATTGTATATTTGCCTGCTTGATAAACTTTATGAAGTTTACAACAAATGTTATAAAAGTCTCTATGTTCTTTGCATAATCATTCACCCTAAACAGTCAAATTGGCACCATTACTATGTGATGCAGTTATAATGAGAACAAAATTGTCATATGAAAAAATAGAAATATGGAAAATTCAGTGAAGGAAGAAACATTTCATTTATGGACAAGACGATCTCATAAGAACAACAGAAGAAAAAACAGTCTTAATTTTAAAAAAATGCACAAGTGCCTTTGTTCAACAGAAATGTCATGAACAAACCTTCAGGGAAAGAATAGAAAGTAATTAGGAAGGCGTTTGAGAAAATATACCAATTTGTGGATTGTTACTCATCTATTTGATCAATGTGTTGTCTTACAGAATCAATGACTAAATTAGTGTGGAATGCTCATAGGAATTAACCAGGAAAAAAGAAACTAGATTAAGTAAACAAGAAATAGAAAAATGACATGCAAAGATTGGTGAGAAGACTCATAATGCAAATAGCTAGATCATTATGTTGGGACATATAGTTATTGTTCAGAATTCATGTGGCACCTCATTGTCTTAAAAGGGGCTTCATAAATTACACTGATTTCAGTAATTACTGTGTGCCATGTTAAGTTTTACTGAAGCAGAGTTAAAGTATAAAAATCTATCAATGACAAAAGGTATTTTAAATTTTTAAGCGAAGTATTGACATAACACAACTGAAATATCATGTAGAAACAGCATTAAAAATTCCAAAGAAAGAAAATGCCATTTTCTGAATGTCTTGATGAGTTCAATGAATACAGTTAGGAGTTCAACCAAAATTCTTCAATAAACATATGAATTAATATTTCATATTATGTTTCATTGAGAACTGACATATTATCTATATCCTGTATCTGAAAAAGTTACCATTTTTGTAAAATTAAGAAATTTGCTGCTTTTGAAAAATAATCCATTGTATCTTTAATATAGTTTCAAGTGTTAAATGTTCACTTTGATTATGAGTTGATGCTTGTGAAACAAACAATTTATCAAGAGCAAAGTAACTTACATTTTATGTTGAAATTATTTTCTTATGCAAGGCCAACTCTTAAACAATTCAAAGCAAAGTTTAATATAACCTGTATTACTATTGTAAAAATCTTTCTTTTTACCTAATTTTATGGTTCCTCATATTTCTTTCATTGTAAGCTCTAATAATAAAGGAAATAACTTTTGTTACATATTTCTAGAGATTATTTTGAATTTACATACTCTACAATTTTAGTTATTTAGTCAAGCATCAAAAATAGAGGCAAAACTCTTACCTTAGAAGATGAAATTGGACGACACCAGAACACATGCATTGTAGAAATCAACAGAACCAGAATAAGATTGAATTTTAATGAACTGCAGAGTAGGAAAAAAAATTCAGAAAAGTCTTATGCAGGCAAGCATAAATTAAAAAGCGTATACAAATTCAACATTTTTCTTTGTTGAAAAATGCAATCTCTTACCTAATCATTCTGGACTTCCTGAGACCTCTACGGATGGGTGATTTTATTCCCAGATTCCTCACTCTTACTGTCAGATCCTCCTTGGGTGATCCTTTTATACCAGAAAAGTTCTTTTATACCAGAAAAGTTCAAGAGTGAAAATGTCATCATGTCCCATCATAGGTGACTAATTGATTCTGGCTGAGGCCTTTTGTTCCTCTTAAGTTGGAAAAGGACAATAACATATAGGTGTTGTCATTGACCTACCAACTGCTGACTTTATTTAAAGTTTGCCATTAAAAATGTCCTTCAAAAGCCTTGTCTTCTAGACCAGAGGTCTCAAAAGGAAACAAAAGTTTGTTTAACTCAGAGTTTAAACACTTAAGAAGGATGACATTATTTCCTTAATATCCAGATGTCTATTTTCAGAGAATAATGCAAAAAAAATCCTTACAGGAATGAAGAGCATCAACCCAAACAATGTGCATTCATTGAGTTTTCCACAGCAGATGTCCTTTTTTAGGACTTCCGAGATTAGAGGAGAGAAACAAATGTCTCCCACCCCCTACTTGCCACTCATCCTCCAGATAAAGGGAAGGCACAATCTCTCCTCCCTTTCCATTGTTATTGTTCAGTCGCTAAGTCATGTCCAACTCTTTGCGACCCCATGGGCTGCAAAACACAGTCCCCTGTCCTTCACTGTCTTCCAGAGTTTCTTCAAATCCAAGTCCATTTGAGTTGGTGATGCTATGTAGCCGTCTCATCTTCTGCCACCCCTTACTCCTTTTGTCTACAATGTTTCCCAGCATCAAAGTCTTTTCCAGTGAGTCAACTCTTCACATCAGGTGGCCAAAGTACTGGAGCTTCCACTTCAACATCAGTCCTTCCAATGAATATTCAGCATTGATATCCTTTAGAATTGACTGGTTTGATTCCCTCGCAGTCCAAGGGACTCTCAAGAGTCTTCTCCAGTACCGCAACTCCAGAGCATGAATTCTTCAAGAGTGCCCAGTGTCTTCTTTATGGTCCAACTCTTACATCCATCCGTGGCTACTGGACAAACCATAGTTTTGCATCCCCAAAGTCCAGGGCCCGGAGTGCCTGCCACGGCCACTTTGTTCTCTCTGGGCATGAAATTCTCCAGGAAGCCGCTCCTGTCCTTGTGTACCACCTTAATACATGGCATGCACATTAATGACGGGTGTCCACATTAATAAGTGGATTCAGAAGCACTAAGGGTGAACAGATGTTACTGAGGCTCACAGTGGAGGGAAACACGAAGCCCGGTGCTGCTTCCTGCTTGGGTGACCAGTACTTCTGAGACAGAGCCAATAGTTTTGGAATACAAAGCAGTGGAGGAAAATCCTTGCCTTCTCAAGATCAGCATCTTTTGGAGGACAAAGCTGTCCTATGTCTGGGATCTTGGCTGTCCACTGGCCAGTGCTGTATCCCTTTCTTTTGGGAACTACCCTGCAATATGATTCTTATGTGATTGTCAATCACACAGTCACACGCCACCTTCCACAAGGAAAAGTAGTCCACCTGATTCTCAAGAGAGTCCGGAAATTAGTGCCAAGTTGGGAGCTGGGGCATCTGATCCAAAATCTTTAATAGCCCTTTTGGAGACATTCTACAGAGACTTAAGATACCAAGTGACTTAATACCCATGTTTACTTTTGGTCTTTTCTTAAACTCAGCTAAAATTTTAAAAAGCAATGGAGAAAATCAATGAAACCAGAAGCCTATGCTTTGTAAAGATTTGTTTAGCTAGATAGGCCAAAAAATAAAAAAGAGAGAAAATACTTAAATTGTTAGCATCAGAGATGAAAGAAGCAGGATTGCTAATGACAGTTAAAAAAATTAGAACTATGAAGAAATACATGGGTACTCAGTATCTTGTAATAATTTATAATGGAAAAGAACCTGAAACTAAATAAACAGAAAGGGAGAGAAGATGACACAGATAGCATTTTGCTGAGTAGTGAGGAGAAATCACTGAAGCAGTTTTGAGAAGGGTGTCTCTTGAAATGGAGATCGCTAACAGACCCTCAACAGACTTGAGTATTCGTGGAATGTGTTTCTGTCAGATGTGATGAAGGTGGTACTAACGAAGGAGGATCCACTGGAATGTTAAGAATCAGGTCAACCTCACCTCCCCGCCCCAGTTCCCATGTACAGACTCCTGCTTTGGCAGAAGACCATAGATTTATCCTGAAAAGAGGGTAAATCAGAGGACCTCCTGATGGAGTGACTCAGGTACAGTGGCATTACAGAGTCCTCTCCCACCAAAAGGAAGGTTGAACAAGCGTTTTGCTCAAAGCCAAGACGCATGCGTCAGTTCTCTGACACAGGTCCAGGCACAGGCCCATTAGCTCTTTACCCTGGACACAAGTGAAAGGAAGACTCTTCTCTGAGGTCCGCCCTAGGCTGTGAGTGTCTGACGCAAGGTTTTTCTTTCAACTAGGATTCGATGGTGGGGAGAAGACAAGCATTTGAGCACTGAGTGAGTGAAATGAAAGTCGCTCAGTCGTGTCCGACTCTTTGCGACCCCGTGGACTATACAGTCCTTGGAATTCTCCAGGCCAGAACACTGGAGTGGGTAGCCTTTCCCTTCTCCAGGGGATCTTCCCAAACCAGGGATTGAACCCAGGACTATGGCCTTGCAGCCAGATTCTTTATCAGCTGAGCCACAAGGGAAGCCTGGATGCCTGAAAATGTGGGGTGAAATCCAGGTGTATCTTGGAGCAGGGAGGTGAGACTGGAGTCAGGGGTATCTAGAAAACTCTGCCAGACACTGGTTCACAGGGCTTTGCTTGGGACCCCACCTCCTTTGGTAACTGTGCCTGTCATGTGATGTCCATGACAGGCATTTCTGGCTCAGTTGGAACCTGCAGAGACCCATCGTCAACACCAAAAGGGCAGGTTAGTGCTCCATTCAGCCTTGGAATTTAATAGACTTTTCATTGAAAGTTTATCCTCTTATTTGTCATGACACAACCATCTTTGAGTCACCCAAGCTCTTTTCACGTGTTTCCTTACGGCATCAGTGTGAACACCAGAGGGAGAAGGGACATGTTCTTTTTGACTTTTTCTTCTCATTGGTCAAACCTGAAGTTGAGACACGCATTCAGAACTGTGTTTCAGAAGTTCAAATACATCATGTATTTTGGACAGAAAAGATCAACAGGAGCCCTTTCTTTTCTAATTTCCAGAGCTTCCTTCCTGTTATGACCCCAAGAAATGTCCCCCACAAGCACCACCTTGATCACTACTGCATTTGGCTCCCTGATGAAAGCAGGACTTGGAAATGTGTTAAAATGATTTTAAGGGAATAAGTGATAAGCTGCAAAAGGTCATCAGCTGAAATTAATTTAGGGTTTTGGTGTCTTAAAAATAATTCTACAATTGATTCCATTGTCCCTAATTATAACACATATTAAGCCCTGCATCTTTCAGCATATATGGAAAAATCAATTTCATCTTAACGGCTTCTTAATTCATACAACTGCTCTATCCTCTGAAAGTATAATTAAAATGCAGAAAGTGGCTGAGTGCATTTTCTGGTTTTATACCAGAGTAGGGGAAATAAAGGCTTAGGCAGAGCTTAGGTTAATTTATTGAAATAAATCATCTCTCTGGTGCCTGGTTGCTCCTAAAATGCTCTGTTAGAGTTTTCACTTGGGCATTCAGAACAGGCCCAGTGCTGGAGATGGAAGTTCTATGGAAATAAAAGGCAAAGACAATCCAGAAGGTGCTGGTGGAACATAAAAAGTGCAAGCAAGTCTCCTTGCTTCAGACCATCGTATCTCGGTATCGGCGGTGTTGATATTTGTAGCTGATGGTTTTTGGCGGTTGGTTCCTGCGCGCTGGAGGAGGTGGAAGCAGCCTCTGTCGAGTAGAGATCAGTAGCGCTCTACCCCGTCCCCCGAGCTGGGACAATGGAAAATGTCTCTGGACACTATCAAATGTCCCCAGGTAGGGGCCTAACCGCCTCCACAGAGAACCACTGTTTAGAGGTAAGTTCTCTGCTCGCTCACTCTCCACAGTGGCGGAGTCCGTGGGCGGACATACATTTCACAAGCGTGGCATCACTGTTGGCTGACGGTATGTTTTTCTTGCTTGGTGATGCATATAATAGTGGTGTATCTTCTGATGGATAAAATCTTAGGTTCAGAGGAATAGTACTCACTTTTATAAAGGAACTATCAATGGCAGTATTTGAGGCATGTTACTTAATATTACATGTTCATTTAAATAATAACGAAAGTGAAATGAAGCAAAAGTGCTGGTCGCTCAGTTGTGCCTGATTCTTTGCGACCCCTATAGATCAAGCCCGCCAGGTTCCTCTGTTCACGGAATTTTTCAGGCAATATACTGGAGCAGGTAGACATTCCCTTCGCCAGGGGATCTTTCTGACCTGGGAATCAAACCCGGGTCTCCTGCACTGCAGGCAGATTCCTACTGTCTGAACCGCAAGGGAAGCCCAATTAAGAACGAAGTATGCTCTTAACTGTTTTCACCGATATACACTCTTAGTTACACACTTCTGCACCTTGTCCTACTCTTCTTACACTTTGGTTTTATTTTAATAATACCCTGAAGTTGTTTTTAAGAAGGCAGATGTCATATTAGACATAGTGTCATCATATCATAAGTGGCGTTTTGATAAATAAATTCCATTAATCACTGATGTGATGTCTACGGTATGCTACTGATGCACCTGGTGAACGGCAGCCAGCAGTGGCCTTTATAAGCAAGCATCGTGAGGAGAGGAAAACCTGCTATAAAGCACCTTGTTCTGCCAGAGACTGGACGCCTCCGGAAAGCATTTTCGGGAATGATCTTCACAGCAGCCAACACTTCATTTATGAATTCATCCAAGCATCAATGAAGGCCCACTCTCTTCCAGGAACTGCGTGAGTTTCTGGGGACGCAGCCATAAAGAAACCCCACAAAGGATAAACGCAGGGGGGAAAGGACAACTCCAAGGTCAGGGTGGGGGTGGGCGCAGCAGCTAACAGAACTTGGCCTTGACTGAGGAAGGGCAGAGCGGCACG